CCGCTCCCTGCCGACCGCAGCTGGAAGGACCTGGAGGACGACGTCAACGTTGCAACGACGAGGCTACTGGGCTGCGCAGCACTCGGTCCGTGCCTGCTATGGTGCCTCGGGCTACGCCCGCACCAGTACGGCGTCGCGCACCAACCTACTGACCCCAGCCTTCAGGACAGGAAGGGACGGAGCATGAACGGATGCCTCTTCTGCTGCTCGGCGCTGGTAGGACTGGACGCCGGCAACCTGGTCTACACTGCGGTCTTCGCGACCATCACGCGGGCGATAAGGCTCGGACTCACAGACAAAGACAACGCACGCGCACTCGACCCCAACCTAATCCCGCCCCGAAGGAACCGACCGAACATGCCAGCAGCGTGGCATATCAAGGAAACCTGCATCGCCACCGACGTCCCCAGGCGCAGACCCAAATGCTGGCACCCATCTACCTGCAAGTGCCAAAAGAACAAGGGGCCACCCACAACGGCCGTGTTTCATGCCTTCTGTAACATGGGTCCAAAATAAAGCCCGGCCACAGATGTCAGCAGCCTACTGGACAGCACCAGCGCGACCCTGGATGGCATCCAGGCCAGGATCCCCCTTGCCCTGTCCCTGCTTATACAGCGCGAACCGCGTGCCTGTCTGCATCCGTACGGGGACGCCGAGGGCATCGGAGACGTGATCGAGGACATCCTCGGCTTGTGCGAGCCGCACCGCCCGCGCGACAAGACCGCTCGTGACCAGTTGGGCGTGTTGTTCGGGCTCCCGTGGAAACACTTCAAGCAGCTGCGCTCGGCACTGCAGCTCCTGATCACAGCGGTGCCCCGCCTAGTCACGGTCGCCCATCACCACCCCCTGGCCAGGACTGCGAACTGCCCCGCGACCAGGGAGGGCCTAGTGGCTAAGAAGTTCCCGCCCCGGGCCACCCTCGCAGTCATCGAGGGCATCGCGCCCACAGCCAACCCGTCAGCCTTGGCAGTCCACGAGTGCGTCGTATGCGCGCTCTACGTCGACGCGATCGGATCCGACACCGGCCTCGCCAACGACCCGACCAAGCAGGCAAGCAGCGCCACCTGGACAGGTGGAGGGTACTCCTACACGCGCCTGCGCCTGGACGCACCCGCCCCTCTCGGGCCACGCTCTGGAGTGACACTAAGGCCCCCATGGTTAGACAGCCGAGACACCAGGTGGAGGAAGGAGCAGTACAAGGCCGACTTCTACTGTCAAGGGTGCCTGCGCGGCCCCTTCAAGCACGATAAGGGCGCATGCGTCAGCAAACGAATTCGCTAAATCATCAACAGAAACAGGCTGGCGGAGTACTACCAGGGGTAGGACCTGACCTGGCTTTGTATATGCTGCTGGACGACGAAGGCAATGGCCGAGCGGCAACCCATTCCAGACGACGTGGACTTCAAGAGCTGGATCAACGACCGCCCCGGCGACATGCCTGTCCGGGCAACGCGCGCCCTTCCAGGGCCGTGTCCGACGTCCGTGCCCACGGCCCTGACGCCCCTGGACCAGCTACTGGCCCCACCGGAAGGCGACCTGAAACCCTTCAATGTGGGAACCACCCTCCCAGCCAGCATCGCGAACGACGACCGCCTGATCATCCAATTCCACAAGGAGAATGCCGGCATCTGGCGATGAGATGGCTGCCCCTCCGGCACAGAGGGACACAGGCGGGGGCCAGGGCAGGCCTGCCCTGGCACGTACGGGCACGCCGCGGATCCAGAAGGACTCCGCGACGGCTTCAACCTGGTCCACGGGCCCCCTCCCGTACAGCTGACGAGGGAGACGTTCCTGGCCAAGCGCTGGCATGCGGGCTGGTACTGCAAGGAATGCCTGATCCATCAACGGGACATGCCCCCATCAGCCGCGAGTCAGGTACTCGACAAATACGGCCCCGACGAATATCCCGGAGCAGGAGCCGGACCTCCCCCCGCGCTACGGGGCATCCCCGCCTCATCGGCAGAGGGCGCAGCACGCCCCAGCCAAGAGGAGCTGCGACGCGCAGCCGCCTGGGATGAGGCAGAGCGCAGCTACTACGACCGCCACGCCACTGCACTGCCACCCCCCGTCCGGGATCCCGACGCTGCGGCTTCCGCCCAGCCACCCAAAGGACGCGCAACCGCAAGCGGGGCCCAGCAGCACGCCACCCCCCGGGCGGGCGCGCGCCCCGAGAAGTCACCCAGCCCGGCCCAGTCAACAAGGCCCACCGAGGAAAGGCGCGCGACACCCTGCCCAACACCTACTAAACCGCCCACTAACGGAGGCGATTCATCCCTTCCCCCTTCGCTCCCACCCACTCCGCCTGGCGACGAGCCGACCCCAGCCAAGCCGGCCACGCGACCCACGGCTACCAAGTCCGGTGGGGCGCCGCCATCCGTCGGCGCGACACCTGAAACCCTCGGAAGGTTTGCAGAACACGGCAGCCGTAAAGAGCAGCAAGGGCAGGTCCCGGACACGCGGGCTCCCTGTGCCCAACTGCCACGGACAACCTAGGCATCCAGTGCGGCGATTACGTGGCCATCAGGGGCGATACCCTTCCCCCCGCCAGATGGTTCAGCACTGCGGACTGCGCCGAGCCCCTAACGACACAGCCCCTGGACGGAGCAGTTTTCGGACCCGTCCTCCGCATCCTGGCCCGCGAACAGGACGCGCGGACGCAACTCGTCCAGATCGGCAGCGAGTGGCTGGAAGCACGAGGCGTCGGCGACAGGACGCTACGCGTAAACGTCCTCCGTGGAGACGCAGCGCTCCGGGCAGCTGCCTTTCTGGACAGTGCCAGGTGCACGGAAAGCAAGCACCAGCGCTCCTCGACAGCCCCACGCGCGGCATCGACACCGGGGGAGACAAAGCGGCGCCCCCCGGGGGGAATGCAGGACAGGCCCAAGCTCGAGCCCTACCCGCCGCAAGCCGACACACAGGACCCCACCTACGAACCTGCACCCCTCCTGTCCCCCAAGGAGGAGGACCCCGACTGGGGCAATGACGGCCAGGCACAGGAGCAGAAGCTGCGCCTCGCCGAAGCCCAAAGCGAGGTCCATCCCGTCTCCTCGTCCTCAGACTCGGACACAGTCGAAGAGCACCAAGCCAAGACGAGTCCTCGGAGCGAGCGGCACACCAGCCCCGAGATCGACACGCGCAGTACCGACCAGAGTACCGACCAGAGGGCTGCCCACGCACCCGCTGAGCCAATCTTGCGCCTGGAGGCGGCGGCCGACGACTGGAACCTGCGCGCGCGGAACCGCTCCAAAGGCCCGGAGGACCCACAACCTGCACTCACCCCTCTCCCTGCACACCTCCTAGAACTCTCGCGCGGCAGGGTGCGGGAGCCAGTCGTCTGGGAGTGGTACGCGACGGCGGTGAGGCGCGAGTCCAGAGAGGACGACCGGACCCGCACAGGGGAGCGAGACCGCGACCGCGACCGCGACCGCAACCAAGGCGCGACGGGGGCACCTTGGCGCAGACACGACGCGAAGGACTGGGACAGAACTCAGGAGCGCTACTGGGACCAGAGCCACGACGCCGGCAGTAGCGCAGGTAGCGCACCCTGGCGCCAGCCAAAATCGCGCAACTCTTACCACAAGGACGATCGCAGCCACACCGACACCAGCTGGACGCGAACCACCTTCCGCGTTGGATGGCAGCGCCTCCCAAACGAGACAGCGGTAACACACCTGAAGGGGCTGCAAGCGGAAGGGGGATACCACTTCAACGCAACCTGGCATTCGTGGTGCAGGCACACGTGCAAGGAGCAGGGCAAGGGCAAATCCAATGACCAGGCGCCTTTCGACACGGGCCGCTGGCATCAGTGGATCATCGACAAATTCCTGGATGACATGAGCACCAACAACTACCACGTGGAGGCGTGGTCCCGCAGCGCAGGCGTCTACGTGGACTGGGAGCGGGAGCAGCAGCTTTACCAGGACGTGCAGAAGAAAAAGGGAGGTCGCCAAGGGTGACGGGCGCGACGGGGACCAGGCGCGCAGCTCCGAGTACCACGACATCTGGACTGGAAAGCGCCCGCGGCGCTGACAGTCGTCGACCCGACCACCTCCTGCCCCACGGCACCACAGCACAACCAGCCAACCGCTCCCACCACCTGCGCCCCGGACCCCGACCCACACCCCAACTCTCTGGCTGGGGACCGTGTGTCCCTCTATCCCCCACCACCTGCACCCCATCGCCCCTGTGGCGCCCGCGTTCCGCGAGCTGGCTACCCACCCTTCCACCTGGACCCCGTCCTTCCCTTCCCCTCCCCTCCCCCTCTCCCGGTTTCAAGGATCTGGGACTTTGTATCTGACTTGTACTTATTGGTTGAAGGAGATTCAAGGATCTGGGAATTTGTGTCCCACCTGTACCCATTGGCTGAGGGAGATTCAAGGATCTGGGACTTTGTGTCCCACCTGCACCCATCTGCGACGCATCGGTGCACCGGCGACTTGCGTGGCAGCCCCTTTTACCTGCAATGGGACCTTGTGTCCTACCTGTACACATTGGGGCTTGTCCCCACGTGAGCACCTTGTTGCAAGCTGACGCGACTTCGGCTGGCGCGGGATGCCGGCCTCTCTCCTCTCTGTTCGTTTCTTCCCCCCCCCCCCGCTCGCTCCCCCCCCTTCCCATGGCGGCGGCGCCCGGCACAGCGCGGCTCCAGCCCGGTGCTGGGCACTGCACCTTGCCGCTTCGGCGGCCCCGCTTGCCCTGGGCAGCGCGGCTCAGGCCCGGCCCTTGGACATGCGATCGTCCGCGCATAGTGTGTGGCTCCCGCCCGCCTTCACGCGCTGACACTGCAGGTCAGGCTTCCTCCCTGCACACCACCGACATCCAGTCGGGCACAGACGGCCCTGTTTCTGGCCGCGCCTTTTGGCTGCCCCCTGGACGTGGATTGGACTACCACCCCAGGCCGCTACCGACCACCCGGTGGCACAACGCTGCACATCGTCTTCGTGGTCCTCCTCATCTCCTGGGCCTCTCCTCACCATTTGGTGGCACACGTTGCTCATCGCCTTCATGGTGGACTTCTTCCCCCTGGACGTCGACGTGTTCACGTCCTTCCGCACGCAGCACTTGAGAATGGTGATTTTGATGCGCCGTCGACGGCAACACCACACCGCTCACCCTCCGGGACTTCGCCTGCGGCTCCTGTCCAAGGTGTACCTTTTCATGTGCAAGCTCCTCTGCACGGCCTGCACCCCGCGCCCTCCGGCCGCCTGAGGCCCCGCCCGCCCGCGCCCTCTCTCCCCAACTAGTGCTTTGCGCGGCCCGCCTAGCCCTTAACCGGAAGAGGCTCGCTCTCGACCCGCAGACCAAAAATGTAGCCGACACCGCCCGAGCTGGATTCCGACCCGTGAGGGCCCCGTGAGATCCGAGCCGGGGCGAGGCTGCACGGCGTGAGGCGGCCCCAACACCCCAGATCTTAGGGGCCCCCCCCTCGCCGTGCGCGCGGCGCTGCCCCCGTCGTCGTCGTCGTCGTCGTCGTCGTCGTCGTCGTCGTCGTCGGCGGCGGCGGCGGCGGCGGCGGCGGCGGCGTCGTCGTCGTCGTCGGTCATCGGTCGTCGTCGGTCGTCGGTCGTCGGTCGTCGGTCGTCGGTCGTCGGTCCTCGGTCGTCGGTCGTCGGTCGTCGTCGGCGTCGTCGTCGTCGTCGTCGGTCATCGGTCGTCGTCGGTCGTCGTCGGTCGTCGTCATCGTCGTCGTCGTCGTCGTCGTCGTCGTCGTCGTCGTCGTCATTGGCTTCGTCGTCCGTCGTCGTCAACGTCGTCGTCTTCGGGAAACTGAAGGATCCGCCACCGCGCTTGCAGCGGTCGGTGTGCGTCGGGCCCTCCTTGGGATCTTTGGGGGGCAGTGCTTCGGCCCCCCTACGCATGGAACCCAAGAGGCTGCCACTTTTGCGGCCGGGCCTCTGCGATGTTGGCCTCCCAGGCAAACATTGACCCCAAGTGCAAAGCTTGGGGAAAGGGAGGGTTCCATGAACCCTCCCCCCCCATCCCGCCCTCTAAGCCCCTCCCCCCGCGCGGCGTTCGCACGAGCGCGGTGGCGGTACAGTCGAGACACCATCAGAAGAAACGCTAAATAAGGAACGAAGCCCCTTCTTGGCCCCAGAAGCGCCCAGGTGCACGAGGAGTGATGGAGGAGGAGCCATAGAAGAGCTTAAGGAACAGCGAGCCCCTTCCGCACCCGAGGCGTTCCTTATTTCAGCGTCTTGGCTGTATGCGGCATCGCGCGGCAGCTCAAGTGACGACCGATGGCCGCTGCTCCTCGAGCCCATCCCTGGACGCGTTCTGACCAGGATCTCGAGGCGAAGCCAGCCGTGGCGACGAGGGCCTCCCATTGAAGGCCCAAGAACGCCAAAACGAGCCGAGGGTAGAGCCAGAGGCCTCCCGGATGGGGCCCGAGCGGGCGGGATCGGAGGATCGCGCCGCACCGCCGATGCATCGACGACGCATCAACGATGCATGGACGATGCCTCGGCGACGTCGGCGGTGCGTCGGCGACGCCGCCGTGGACAAGGTCGGGCTCCACATCGAGGCGCACCGCCTATGCAGCGGCGATGCGGCGCGATCCTCCGGCCCCGTCTGCTCGGACGCCGCTCGGGGGAGGCCCGCAGATGCGGCGCCGGGCCCTGCCCTCCCTCTCCACGGCCGGGGGCCTCCTCGGTGCCGCCGCACGCCTCGCCGTCGGGCGCCTCGCCCGGGGCGAGCGGCGAGGCGTCGTCCCGGAGCTCCTCGTCCGGCGGCTTGCTCGGGGGCGCCCTCGGCGCCGGCGCGGGCGAAGGCCCGCTCAGCTCGCCCGCGGCCGCGCAGGGCGGGCCAGGCGCGGCGGGGTGCGCCAGCAGCTCCGCGCGCAGGCCGCGGCGCAGGGCGCCCTGCTCCCCGAGCGGGTCGCCCCACTGCCGCTGCAGGGCCTCCACGCGCGCGAGGGAGGCGCGCAGCTCCGCGAGCGTGCCCGCGAGGTGCGCGCCGGCCTCCATCGATCGCGCGGCCCGCACAGTGGCGAGGGCGCAAGGAGGGCGCCGCGGCTTGGGCCAGAGTGGTCGCGGAGGAACAGGAAGCGGAGGAAGTGGAGGAGGAGGAGGAGGACGAGGAGGAGGAGGAGGAGGAGGAGGAGGAGGAGGAGGAGGAGTTCAAGGAGGAGGAGGAATTGGAGGAGGAGGAGGAGGAGGAGTTCAAGGAGGAGGAGGAGGAGTTGGAAGAGGAGGAGGAGGAGGAGGAGGAGGAGTAGGAGGAGGAGGAGGAGTTCAAGGAGGAGTTCAAGGAGGAGGAGGAGGAGGAGGAGGAGGAGGAGAAGGAGGAGGCAACGAATAGCATAGTGTCCACAGTCCGCGGCGGGACTGCGGGCGCGAGGGCGGGGCCGTCTCACCGGGGGTGGAGCGAGCCGTCGCCGCCGCGGGGTGCTCGAAGTATGGAGCCCCGTGCGCCGAGGCAGCGCGACGGGGGTTCGTGGAGCTCTGCGCTGGTGGGGGTGGTCCCGGATGACCCGGAGGGAATGAGACCCAGACCCCAGGGGTCTGGTCGGCCAGGAGGCCTGGCCGCGGCAGCAGTAGGGGGCCACATGCGAACCCTACCCCTACCCCCCCACGATTTCTGAGGGGGAGGGTGGGGTTCACTTCGCTCGGGAGCTCCCGAACGAAGTGGGGGGGTAGGGGTAGGGTTCGCATGTGTCCCCCTAAGCAGGCACATCTCCCAGCGCCCCAGCGGGTGCTGCAATTGCTGCTGCTGCTGCTGCTGCTGCTGGCGCTGGAGCCTCTCGGGGTCCGGTCAGGCTTGGGTCGTTGGGCGGATGCTGGAGTTGATAGGTGGAAGTGGAGGTGGAAGGTCGGATGCTGGGTGCTGGAGGTCGGAGCGCATAGGTGGCGGTAGCTGGAGGTCGGTGTGTGGAGGCTGACATTGACAGTCATATGCTGGACGCTGGAGGTCGGGGCGCTTGTGTGGCGGAAGCTGGAGGTCGATGGCTGAGTGGAGGTGGAAGTGGGAAATCTGATTGTGGGTGCTGGAGGTCGGGGCGCTGCGGCGGGGGGATCGAGAGGTGGAGGTGGAGGTGGGAGGCCGTGTGCTGCGAGCTGGAGGTCGGAGCGCCGAGGCCCGAGGTCGCGAGGTGGTGGCGGGGGTGGAGTGCCGGATGCCGGGTGCCGGATCCTCCTCCTCCTTCTCCTCCTCCTCCTCCTCCTGAAGCTGGAGGTCGATAGGCGGAGGTGATAGTGGAGAGTCGGATGCTGGATGCCGGAGGTCGGAGTGCGGAGGCGGTGGGAGCTGGAAGCGCACGGGTGCCCCATTATCCGCGGGCGCCGGTGTCGCGGCCTCCACTGGCACGGGCGGCATGCGCGCCGCGCTGTCGACGGAGTGCCCTCCCGACGCGGCCGACGTACTGGTCAATGGTCCCGGGCTCGTCCCGTGGAGTTGCTGCTGGCGGAGGCTGGAGGTGGAAGTGACACAGTGTGAGTGCTGGCCACGGTGACGGCGATGTTGCCGTCGACGTTGTCGGGATGGCTGGTCTCGACGTCGCGATCGTCGTGGGCGTCGTGCTGCTGGTCCAGCGCGTCCGCATCGAGCTGCATCGCGCCGTGGCCCGGTGGAGGTCCCAGATGGCCTGGAGGGAGCCAGACCCAGAAGGGGGGTGGTCTGGTCGAGCGACATATCAACCTCTCCAGCTTCCGCCACCTCAGCGCTCCGACCTGCTTGCGATGCGCATGCCAAGACCACGAAGACGGGGGCGACAGCAAATGGAGGAGAGGATGACATGATATTTCGCCTGTCCGTGCTGCAGAATCCGTCTGTCTCATCTGCTCCTTCATGTCTATAGCCAGCTGGCACCGACGCACGCCTTAGCGTTGGATGAAGCAGGCGAGCACTGTAAAGTGGCCACCCCCTTCCAGAAATTTTGATCACAACCTTCCGGGGGACATCTGGGCGCCAGTCGATGCGCCCGCGCGCGAGCATGAGGGGCGCGATTGGGCTCTCGACCTTGTTCTAAGGAGACCTCGCGTTCGGCGCCTGGAGGGCGCCCTCGCAGCCCATTTCAAGACGCCCGTCCGTTCCGGACGGCGCTGGCGAAGTCTCTGATTGGCCTCGGAAGTGACTGAAGGGGCCCTGGGACACACAAACAAATACACACAAATAAAAGGATTCCCCATATTTTCCTATATTTTTGGGGTCTCTGTCTTCCCCCCCGCTTCCCATATCTTCCCATATTTTCTCGGGGATCGACGATTCATTGTGTCTGTGTGTTTTTTCCCTCCTGATAGACGACCTGCTAGGAACGTTCGGGCAACCGCGGCCCCTGACTCCAGCCTGCTGGGCTTTGCCGTCGCGGCAGTGCCGTCGCGGCAGTGGCCCGGGGCGACGCGGAGCGCCTTTCCCCCACCCCACCTCCTCCCGTGAGAGGAGGAGGAGGAGAAGGAGGAGGATGAAGAGGAGGAGGAAGAGGAGGAGGAGGAGGGGGAGGGGAGGAGGAGGAGGAGGAGGAAACGGAAGGAAGGAGGAGGAGGAGGAGGAGGAGGAGGAGGAGGAGGAGGAGGAGGAGGAGCACCGTTGGCAGACGCCTCTGGGCCCCCCTGGTGGGAGCCCCCGCCGAGGTCCCCGCGGGGGCGCGCGCGCTGCCGGCCCCGGGGGTCCCATCAGGAGGGAAAAAAAGACACAGACACAATGAATCGTCGATCCCCCAGAAAATATGGGAAAATATGGGAAGTGGGGGGGAAGACAGAAACCCCCAAAATATGGGAAAATATGGGGGATCCTTTTATCTGTGTGTATTTATTTGTGTCCCAGGGCCCCTTCATCCCAGTCGGGGTGCTGGGGGAGGTCCTCGGGGCCCTGGGGATCGGAGACCATGAACTTGGTCTTGCCCGCGTTGACGTGCAAGTTGATCATCGCCGCGTGGGCGACTACCTCCTGGTGGGCCTGCGCGGAAGCCCTGGCTGAGGCTCCGGGGCCTCCTTTCACGCGGGGCGCCAGGTCGCCCGTGGATGCGCGTTCCGACAAGGCGGGATCGAGGCGGCGATCTCCCCGAAAGCGGAGT